CCCCAAAACCCCAAAACCCCAAAACCCCATCAATCCAGATCACGTTAGCTCATTAGATGTTAAAAATAAATTTATTATTAATAGGGAGTTGATGATTAATTATGATAATTAAATGAGCATTCAGATATTTTAAAATTCCCTCTTCAATATGGGATATTCAAGGAAACTCACATATCTTTAGTAAGCTCTGGCAATTGCCATGTAAGATTAAGATTAAATTTATTAATAAGGTTTATGGCTGTTTCTAACTGTGGAGATGATAATCAGGATGGCCAAATAGTTCCATATTTAAATTACTCAAATAAAAAACATACTAATTGGAGTAATTATTAGAAAAATCCAACAAGAAACTTAGTTCCTGCTTGTGATCTTTCATGCTCTGGATTCCCCTCTTACTCTCTTGGTTCTGTAACTGGCTCTTGGTCTTATTCAGATCTATTAGCTAACAGATGTACCTGGCTTACTGCTCCTACTCAAGCAGATCCTTGTACTATTACCTATTACGTAAAAGACTTCACAACTTAATAGCCCTATACCGGAACTGACATTATAATTACGAGGCAGGGTGAATTGGGGTTTCTTTATTATGTTCCAGACATTACTACGATCAGGAATACGATTACTCTTTAGATAGTTGTCTCTGTCGTGGAGAAAAGTGATGTAAATACAATTAAAATATATACATATCCAACTAGTTGCTCTGCTGGAGTATTAACTGCTAATACACAAACGAATCTGATATCTCAATATGATCTATCTGTAGGAACAAAATAAACTTTTTGGAAAACTAATTTCAAATCATCATCTACTTGCGACAGAATAAAAATTGATCTCGTAATTACTCCATAACCTATTGATGTTTTCTACTTAATTGATTCAGATGCTTAGACTATTTATATCTAAAGTTCGAATTTGGACTTGGTGAATACTTAATACAGTATAAAAGTTCAAGCATGGTCAGCTTATGATAATTCAAAAAAGCTAAACACTACTGCTGTTACTTTTAAATTATGTACATGCTGCTAACTGTCAATAAGTCCTCCTGGAAATGAAGCATTCACAGTCACCCGTAATGACTTTTCAGAACCTATATATCTGATACCTTGGATTGTAACTCCTCTAGAATGTGATACCACTTTAAAAGTAGCCAAAGATTCTCAAGGAAATCCATTCCCTAACAATATTTTACTTTACAATAGCGTCAATGATGAAATTACACTTTCTTCATTCAGATATAATGTTGCAACTATGAATGTATATATCTGGTATTTAACAACTTCATATATGGTTACAATTACTTATGATTTTAAGTGCGATATAAGCTACTGTTAAGTAACCCCTCCTTCACAGACAGACATTATTTTAGAAATTGATGGGGCTGAAATAGCTGCTTAAACATTCCATTATATCTGCGATATTGCATTCATAAATAATTGTGGCTCTCCTACTTATTAGTTAGGAACTTTGACAACTGGTGTTTAAAATACTGGAACTTCAAGCAACCCAAAATTTAAAGCAAACTCAACTGCAACTGTTGGCTAGTATAATTTAAATTATGACATTTACTACACTGCAGGAGGTGTGATTGGAACAAAAAGTTCAGTCACCTTTGTACTGATTATAAGATGTCCTCCTCCTTCGGTTACAGCACCAATTGATGAAGCTTTTACTATTAATCCCAGCACCTATTTAATTCCTATATAATTATCTCCGTGGATTGTTACTCCAACTAAATGTGATACATTTCCTAAATTTGCTAAAGATTAAAATGGAAATTAATATAGTAATGCAGTGTTAACCTATAATAGGTTAGCAAACAAGATTACACTTTCTACTTTCAACTTTAAAAATCCAAGTATAGAAGTCTATATATGGTACTTAACTTACTCATACCTTGTAACAATAAATTTTTAATATACATGTGATTTGAGCGTTTGCATTGTAAATGAGCCTGCTAATAAATTAATATCACTTGAGATTTCTGGAAATTCTGTATAAGCTGACACATATACATTTAATTGTGATAATTCATTTTTAGATAGCTGTGGGCAGCCTACAACATTGCTAGGGACATTGCCAGCAGGAATTTAAAACACAGGAACTGAAAGTAGTCCATCATTCAAAGCAGATATATCCTCAACTTTAGGCACTTATTTCGTAAATTATGATTTATACTACACTGTCAATAATGTGATAGGAACGAAGTTTTCTATTAATTTTGGAATAACCATTAGTTGTCCCAAAAAACTTATAATTACATCTCCTGTGGATGAGACATTCTCTGTCACTGTTAATAATTATGCTACGCCTGTTCAATTATCTAAATGGTCGATTATACCTCCACAGTGTGATGCCACATCTAAAATAGCAAAAAATTCATTAGGAACTCAATATAATAAAGATGTTTTAAGTTATGATAGTTCAAATGATTAAATAACTCTAAGCTAATTTAGAGTAGACATTCCAATGCTTGAAATCTACATATGGTATGATACATATTATTACCAAGTCAAAATATTTTTTGATTATGATTGCGATCTGAATTTCTGTACAGTAAATGAGCCAATAATAACCGATAGATTGATAACGCTTTAAATAGAAGGAATTTCATAAATTGCGGCCCAATTTACATTTAGCTGTGAAAGTGCATTTATAGATAAATGCGGACAACCAAACCTGAAATTGGGCTCATTACCCACAGGGATTATAAATATTGGAACTGTGAGCAATCCTATATTTTAAGCAAGTTCGAATGCTTTTACTGGATAATATTTCTTAAATTATGATATATATTATCTTGCAAAAGATGTTATTACTACTACTAAATCTTTTGATTTTGAATTTTAAATAACATGCCCTTCTTATAAGGTGCCTAGCTATTCTGATTTATCATAGAAGTATTATATTGGAGATGATACATTAGTGATAAGTCTCTAATCTGAAACACTCCCATTAAACTGCCATAGTTACTCAATTTCTAATATTAATCCATTGCCTAATTATGCAACTATTGCCAGTGATTCTGATATATTCACACTTCAAGTATATACTACCTCAGAGGTAAACATTGGGATACATGATATTGAGCTTACCTATACAATCAAGGATTATCCTAATCAAATAGCAATCCCTTATCTTTTAAAATTAGCAATTGACAAGCATCCTGTTGCAATAGTCTAAGTTATCAATCTTGAGAATTAATGTGCTCCAATCTTCTCCAATAAAATTGATGATGTAGAGATTATGTAAAATGAGAAGAAAACTATACTAATACCCCCTTTTACTGATTGTGATATATAGGATAAACCCTCATATAAAGTAACTGTGGGAGCAGCTGAATTTGTAAAGTTAAGCCAAGGCAGACTAATTTTGTTGCCTTCTTACTAATATGATGGCTTTTACACTGTAGATATTACTCTCTGTGATAATGCTCATTTGCCTAAGTGTAGCTATCTATCATTTAATGTTCATGTCGAGAAGGAAGCCACTTAAAATACAACAGCAAATTCTACTAATAGCAGCTCTTTATCAACATATGTTCCCAATTATAAAAAATAAAAGCAGACTGTTAAGGATTAGTCTGTAAAGCAACTTTAAAATTGGAATAGTGAAAAATTAGTTGCTAGAATAATAGAATTTACAGTGGGAGGAAGAATTAAACTTGTGTTTAACAGAGAGGTAAACATGCCAGAAAATGTTACAAAGATTCTTAATTTGTTCATTATGCCTTATGAAAGATAGGAAAGATATTATCTAAATTTTACTTGGCAGGTACTGAATTATACATCAAAATTAATAGAATTGCAGCTCAAATTTGACTATCCAATATTAGTTTCTCAATATTCAGTATTACTTATTATTAGATTAATCTACTTTAGGAGTATGATGAACTTGCTGTTGAAATTTCAACTCAATATTTCACAATGAAGAGCAATCGCTGATTATTGCAAGAAATTGAAGATAATCTTGTTTGTACGTCAAGAATACCAAGATAGCTTCCTACAGAAGGTAGGCAAACATACTGAATTTCTAAACTAAATTTATACTTTAGAAGAGGAGCAATAAATAGAATCATTGGCTACAGCTACTCAAGTTACAATTATTGCAGGACTTTCCTTAGGATTTGCATTCCAATTCTTTATGTAACTACCTCCTTTATCTAATTAATATTTTAATTCAGCTAACAGATATTGGCTTAGCTTTGGTCTATGATAAACAATTTGCAGCTTATAGTTTATCTTCCCTACTTCTAGGTTTTGTTTCCATCTAATGCATTACAATTTCTGAAGATACTCGTAGACATATCTAATTTAAAATTGCTACCCAATTTGGATGAACTTTCATTCTTTGAAAATATTGATTCGGATGTGTCTTTAAATATTTATGAAACCAATGAGATATGCTAATTTTACGAATACGAAAACTGCTATTTCTTGAGTAATTTGAAAGATATGATAGTGATGATGCTTTTTGGGGTTAGCTTTTTAATTGCTCATCATATAATTTTCAAAGTCATTATCAAAAGAAAATTTAAGACTCAATCAAAATTTCTCAAGTTCTTTTAGAACAGATATAAGTAGATTGCAAAGTCATTTAAGTACAGTTGGTTTATAAGAATATTCATTGAAAATTACTTTTAAATGGGACTACTTGCATTTGTGGTCATTGACAACTATTTCTAATTTATTGATTGGAGAGTTTAACTCAACTCTACCTTGGGTGTTATTGTTGTCATTTTAATTTGCACTTCACCCATTCTAATTTTCATATTTCTATTCAAAAATAGAACCAAGCTTCATAGCTCAAAGATGGAATCAAGATATGGCTCACTTTATGAGAGTCAGAAATCTTATAATGGGCTCACAGTATATTATATTGTATTATTTCTTTTGAAACGTTTATTTTTTGCTTTTGCAATTGAATTTCTCGTTCTAGAATATCAAATATCATTTTAAATACTTCTATCATGGATTTTAATTTGGTATATTTGTACAGTGAAGCCAATGAAAAAGTAGTATTTAAATACGATTGAGCTTTTTAATGAATGCGTGTTTTTACTATGTTTAAGTTTTTGCTTTTTATTTACAGAGTATATATAAGATGCTGAGATTCGCTATGAATTGGGCAAAGTTTTCATTGCTTTTGTTATTTTAAGTATTTTTGTAAACTTCATATTGATACTATACCAAATAGTTAGGTAGTCTATAAAGATCTCTAAAGTCGTCATTAAGAAAATTAAAATGATTAAATCACTGGCAATGGTAATTAGAATTAAAGTGGATAAAATCAGACATTAATAACTAGACTCTAGAGATAGCACTTTAGATATGTCTCAAAGTGTTTCAATATCTCCAGTTCAAAATTACAGTCAAGTTAATAGCGGTAGAACTACTCTGAATCCAGATGAGTAATCATCACCTATATTCCCACCAAAGAGAAGATTACATGATAGAGTCAAAGGTATAAAACTAACGGAGAGAAATGACATGATGAAAACCATGAGAATAGATCCCTTTGGATGTGATGATGAAGAGATTAAACTTGAAGACTCACAGAGGAGAATTCCAACTTTTAGCACCTGAAAATAGCTTAAATCTTTTGCTAAAATTTATAAATAGAAATTTGGAAATTTGAAAATAAGCTATGATTATTTATTTATAGCAATTCCAATATTATATTGTTATTAATTATTATTTAAAACAAATTGAGTATTTTCTAATTAATCTATGCAGAGGGGGTTTTGGGGTTTTGGGG